GGGAGTTCTGGGAGAACGATCGGATGGATCCCTTCGAGCTTTACAGAGCCAAACAATCGTAACAATGAGCCTATATAGCTGGTGGTAGTCTCGAGGGTGGTCCGCGTAGATGCAGTCGCTAGAACGAAACCCTTCTCTCTCTCTCTCTCTCTCTCTCTCTCTCTCTCTCTCTCTCTTTCTCTTTCTCCATGAATCTCAACGATTCTATCGAGCGAGGGCACATCAAAGTTGCACGCGATATACGCGTAGGCTCGTTCGACCTATACGGCTCCCTTCGGTCCCTTCGTGTACCTCGGCAAGGGCTGCCTTTAATATCGAAGAAAATTATGTAATCGGTAGCCGTTACGCCCTTACGATGGTTGGGGGAAATTGATCGTGCATGCAAATAAAGTGCCATTATCCTGTGCCGTGGTCTCGAACATATACCTACGCTTCTGTGAGACATCGAGACGAGACAGGAGAGAGAGAGAGAGAGAGAGAGAGAGAGAGAGAGAGAGAGGGATACGAAAAGAAAAAGAAAAAAATGAGGAGGGGGGGGCCAATCTACCCTACTTGAATTCCGTAGTGACTTCGATTTTTCGAAAAGTACCTTTAAAGTACAAGAGAAATGATGTATCGAAAGAAAAAAAACTTTCAACGTATACGCAAAATTAAATACTTGTCCTTCAAGTAAATTTCATTAAAGAGATTTGCAAAAAAAAATTCGCTTAATTCGTTTTATTAACTTATAAAAGAAAGAAAGAAAGAGAAAAAACATGTTGTATTTTAATCGACCCTAATATGGCAAAAACAAAAAGAAAATGTTGTATAATGTATGTTCTTATTATCGTATTAAAATGGGACATCCTATATAGATAAGCTATGTCATGTTACGTACGACGTCGCGGCACAGATGCGTCCGAACGTAAATCGATCGTGGTTAAGAAAATAAATCGTGGCATCCCTAACAGAAGTTACTTTCTCTCTCTCTCTCTCTCTCTCTCTTCTCATTTTGTCTCTCTCTTTCTCATACACACGTACCCATGGCACACATACATACATACACAAGTACGTGCGCTGTCGCACGTACGACCGCAAGAGTGTCTTGGAGATAGGGTGAAAGCAGCACACGCATTTCCGATCTCATTTTCCTACGTCCTGCGTGTAACGATGTGGAACTATTGCGTTTTGAAAATCTTTCCTTCCGACTTTCGAACGATGTTACTCGTTTTCGACGTTCGCGCGGAGATATTGACGTTCGAGGCACGTGTCTTTCTAAGGAGAGAGATAGAAAGGGAGAGAGAGAGAGAGAGAGAGAGAGAGAGAGAGAGAGAGAGAGAGAGATAGAGAAGAGTAACGTATACACACGTAAACGAGACGCACATGATCCTATGAGAGAGGAGGAATAGGAAAAGAAGGAGAAAAAGTCAGGGCCCCGAAAGTCACGTACCAGGGTTACAACCTCGTATGGCTTTGACATTCTAAAATTGGAAGAAGCTTAACGGTGTTTTGTAGAGAGTAGGGATGCTGTCGCTGCTGCTGTTCCACTACTGCTGTCCGCCTGTTCCTTGAGGAATTTCTTGTGACAATTTTTATGGCCATAGGGATATTCGAAATCGTTGAAATAAATCTCGAATAATAGTAGATAGATACGCGCCGAGCTTATAAATAGTGTTTAATATTTAAATGCGTCTTAATGCAAATGTGTGAGGGGCGGAGAGGGGGGGATGGAGAGAGAGAGAGAGAGAGAGAGAGAGAGAGCAGGAATAAATTCTTCTCCCATCATTTTTTTTTTTTTTTTTTTTGTTCTTTCTTCTTTCTTTTATCTTTTTTTCTTCATTATTTCTTTCCTTCTTTCTTTCCGCAAATGATCCATCCGTAAATAATGTTTCTTATCATTTTTCCCTTAATTCATTCATTCAGTCTTCGAGCTTTTTACAACGTGTTATAAATAATTCGATTCGTTTTATAATTTCTCACGTTGTTCGTTGTTCATTTGTAATAAATATCAATGACCAGTTAGTTGGTAATTTAAAAATTATATTATATTACATTCTCGTATACTTTAAGCAATCAAATTTTTTATCGTCCGTGTTAATGGCCATAATAATAAACCGATCTCGATTTTTATTGGTTTAGAAAATAACGACGCGTTGTAAAATAATAAAATGAGAATCATCCCGGTAGTACGAGTAGGGGGAAACGTGCATATAACCGAGCCGACGTTGAACGACGAGGAACCTTAAAAGTTTTCTACGACTTCTCGTAATATTTAGCGACACGAGAAACGTTTAACGTTCTGAAACGACATCTTTGTGTACGGCGTAGAGATCCGTGTGAAAGAAAGTCTCCCTTCTCTCTCTCTCTTTCTCTTTCGGGCAAAGAGAAGACCGGAGAACAAATAAAAGTTCGCCTATAAAATATTCATGAGCTGACACCGACGACGTTTTATTTTTTATTTTTCATTTTTTTTAACTTTTCTTCTTTTTTTTTTTTTCTTTTCTTTTTTGTTTTTTTTTTTTTTTTTTTTTTGAGAAACATGGACGACCGGGGCTTTTGCATTCGCGAGAGTTATTCACGTCTCTTGTGTGCACTTCGAGTAACGAGGAAACACCTATTTCGATGATTCTACTATCTGGAAAACTACTTTTCTATATTACTGTTGCATTATGTATACATACGTGTATATATATATATATATATATATATGTATGTATGTACGTATCATCTCAATCTCCTTCTATATATACATATATATATATATATATATATAAAATAGATGTATACATATATGAAAGTAGATATATATATATATATATCTAATTCAAGCCACACGTAAATCCGTGTACAATGGAATTGAAACGTTCATATCGTTGACATATACATATAATATATGACTACATATGCAACAAACGTTTCAATTAAATACATATACCATAAAGCAAAATGTATAATGCAGGAAACGTTTGAATATTCATACGACGTACTTTGATAAATCTATTTGATTTTACGTTCGTCCTAACATTTGAATCCGTGTATTATCAAGATTATTTAAATTACTCTATTAATTTTATTATTTCGATATATATATATATATATATATATATATATATATATATATAACAATGTCTGGAGAATTGTATTTTTCTTTTTTTCCTCTTTGATTGCAGCGAATCGTCAGATGGACGTGGCTCTTTATATCGGATTAACCGTGGCTTGCGTCGTCATCGGTGGATTAGCATTTTTCTTGGCAAGACTTTTACGAAGAAAAGGTCGAGATCATTCTCTCTACTCCATGGCACGCAATGGTAAGCATTTCGAAAGAGGTAAAAAAAAAAAAAACAAAAAAAACAAAACAAAAGAAATCAAAAAAAAAGAAGAGATCATTCGGTTCCTTTCTTCTCGAATTTGTTCCTCAATCTTCTGTTTTTGCTTCTATCGCTCTTATTTTCGCTTGAACGGCGAAACAAAAGAAATAAAAAAAAAAAAAGAAAAAAAAAGAAAAAAGGAAAAAAAAAAAAGCAGGCAAGATACTATTTCGAAGCTTGATTAATCCAAAAGCACTCGCTCCTATTTTCCATCTTTCAATTATTCATATAATTTGTTCGTCTCTATCGTTGTGAACGCTTTTGGAATGCATTAATACACATGCAAAACACTTGTCTGCTGTTTCTAACGCGTTTCTACTTTTTCCCGCCCCCTCCCCCTTTCTTCCCCCTCTTCTAATCTTTCTTCTAATCTCTCTCGTATTAACTATAAAAGAGGTCGTAAAACTGTATACTCTATGTGGAAACATCGTTGAACATCGGTAAAGTACGGGGCGCGAGTGCTTATCTGGTAACGCAGGATCTTTGTAAAGTCCTTATGCACTTTTAAGATTTAAATTAATATAATTCGTAATACGCACGTACGTACGTACGTACGTATCTATGTGTATGGAATTACGATCGTAATAAAGATCTCTCTCTTTCTCTCTCTCTCTCACACATACTCTTGCTCTCTCTTACTCTCACCTTTTCTCTTTCTACGATCTCGAGATAAAATTTACGACGTCCGTGAAGATTTAAAAGTATCATTTAAATGGCATATCAACTAGGTACCATTAGATTCTCGTAAGCGTTAAAATTGCAATAAGGACTTTGCGAGGTATCCCGGTAAGTTGAGATGCGTAAGAGAATCGGAACAGTATCGTTGCCGGGATCTGTCCGCAGCGCGCAGAGATACCCACGAGCCGTGCCTCGGCCGTGTGCGTTTCAGAATTCCAGCCGGAGTTCTTCCCGGACCAGGACAAGAAGTTGAGCCTACAACCGGACGTGACGGCGACGAGCGTGCCGGCCTGTTACGAGTATCCTTTCGACCCGAAGCTGTCGATGTCGAGATCCCTCTCGGAGCACCATTACGACGTGCCGCACCTATCGATCGCCCCCCAACCATCCCCGATGTCACCAACTCCTTCGACATCGACGCAAGAGTCTTGCAGCGACAAGCAGATTCATTCCGACAGCGAGAACAGCGTCACTAGTTCATATCCATCCTCGGACTCTACTTACAACGTCGCCTCCGAAAGCGTCAGGTTACCCAAGCTCGAAGCTGGAAACGTAGCGAGAGCTGCTGTCAACACTCGAGGTGCATTATTGGTCCTTCCGGATTCTGGAATTTCAATGTCGGTACCCGAAGGAGCAGTACCGAAGCCACTCAGAGAGGAACTCTATTTGGCGGTTCTCAACGAGGATCGCTTTAGGCCTAGATTACCTGGTAAGTGTGAAAAAAAGAAAAAAGAAAAAAAAACGAGATAGGAAAAAGAAACAAAATATAATAAACGAAAGGAAAGATAGAACACGTTGTCATTCCGACATTCCCCCTTTAAAGTCCTGACAACGAAAAAGCTAACATTTCCCCGAACGAATTCGATCGCATTATAGCTTTTATCTCGCTCCCACCGATATCTCCGTGCAGCCCCTTTCACAATGTCGATAAATCAAATTAGCACTCTAATTTCGTCGAGTCGCGTTCGAGAGATTGCCTGACGTAATATTCACGGTAATAGTGAACGTCAATTGTTGCTATCGACGTGAGAGCATTTATTGTATCTGTCCGCGGCCGTGAAAATTTGAACGGCATTGAAGAAAAAACAAAAAAGAAAAAATAAATAAATAAATAAAAAGAAAAGAAAAATAAATAAAGAATAAAATAAAATAATAAAATATGATCGACGTTTGTTTTGCGTTTAATTGATTCGAGAAGAAGTAAAAAAAAAAAAGACAAAAAAGAGAGACCTCTGCTGTTTCGTACCTCAGTTACGCGTCGAATCTGGATTAAGTTTATGTATTTACGTGTACATGCGAAAATAAACTCATCGACGAAATGTTGAATTTATCGACAGCGATTGATGTTTAATTATTATCCATTAACGGTATAATGATTTATATCGAGATCATTATCGATATTTAGAAATGCTCGTTTTTGTCACAAAATCGAAAAGACACTCGTTTTATCCTCGCAGACGGTATAACGCAGCTATCGGCGGTGGTGACCTGTGGCCCATCTAGGGCGTCCTTCAATAAACCTGTGATCCTACAATTCGAACACTGCGCAATGTTGCATCCCGCGACCTGGGAGCTGAGCGTATGGGCCTCGGACAATCTGAACGTCGAGGAGAGCTCGTCGATGTCGTCGACGAAGGATCATCAGGTGGTGACGTGGAGCAGAGTGTTGACATTGGGCAACGAAACGATCAACACGCCGCTCTTTACGCAGCTCGATCACGCGGAAGCGTTTATCGTGACGGAGCAACTCAGAGGTTATGTTCTCGCAGGTCAGAGTTGCGAGAACTCAATAGCCACTAAGAGACTGAGATTAGCATTGTTCGCTAGCCAAGCTGGCCAGTGTTGCGTCAGGGTCTACGCCGTTGAGGACACGAAGGCTGCCACAAAGGCGATCGTCGACAGGGAGTCGCAAATCAGAGGTTACTTGTTGGACAAGCCACGTACGCTCATGTTCCAAGACAACGGGGATCCTCTTTGCGTTAGTCTCGAGGAAGTCGGGAACGAATGGCAGAGCAAATCGCCAACCGAGCGTCAAGAGCTCTCCTTCAGAGACGTTTGGAATTGTCAGGAGAACACAAAACACGTAACCTTCGGTTTAGACACAGCCTTTGGCCCGACGACAACCAGAAGCTACAAGCTACAAGTCTCGCAAGGCAATTCCGACACCAGGCAAGTCTTCAGGATCGTTTACGACGGCGCGAAGCAACTGATCTCATCCGGCAGCGTTACCAGACCTCTCAGGGAAGTGACCGTCGTCAGCAGTGGACATGCTAATAACGCAACCACGGATTCAACCGCCCTCAGACCGTTTCGGTTCACCAGGTCTCTCAGGAAACAACTCTGCCAGTGCCTCGACCCTCCTAACGCTTTGGGCAACGACTGGAGAATGTTGGCTCAGAGACTACAGGTTGACAGGTTGGTAATACACTTGCCTCCATCTCTATTCACGCTTAAGAACGAAACTTTAATGGAACTGTACGATTCTCACCCTAAGCTATTATTTATTTCATTCGACGTTAGACCCTTATTTTGGTTACTTATATCTAGACACTAGAAACTAGATCACTACAACTATCTTTTTCTCATTAACTCATCTTTCCGCTTAGTCACGCGATAATGAGTTTTTCTTTCATTGCCGACCCTCCGGGAGATACAACGAAGATACGTATGTACACCGTGCTCCTCTCTTCACGTAATGTAAACCCGTTTAGTTCTTGTATCCGATCAACGAAGAAGATGAAGAAAAAAAAAAAAAAGAAGGAAAGAAATCCTCTTAATCGGTTGTTCCCCTTTCATTATCTCAATCGACATTCAGTCGTTGTACGGCTAATGATTCTTCGTACGGTTTAAGAGAAAAAATCTCAGGGCACGTTTACTCGCTTGACAACGTTATTAATTTTTTTCTTCTCTTTTTTTTTTTTGTTTTTTTGTTTTCTTCCTCCTTATTTTTTCTTTTTTCTGTTTTTCTTTTTTTTTTTTTTTTTTTTTCTTTCTTTCTTTTCTTGTGTTAATGATCAATCGATTTATCTATCGTCGCGGTTGCCTTCTTAATAATCACTTTAGACGGGATTCTCGTTGCTCCTGTCGCAGGTACATAAACTACTTTGCAACTAAGTCGAGCCCGACGGAACACATTCTCGATTTATGGGAGGCAAGGCATAGAGAACCAACGGCTGTCACAGATCTCTTGAATCATTTGAGAGTGATGGGAAGGACCGATGCTGCTACGATTTTGGAAGCACAGCTTGGACCCTGGCTTTGAACGCGTTACCACGTCGAATTGCTTTTACAAACGAAGTTACGTTCCCTTGGCCGGTGAGTGATAGTTACGAACACGATGGACGCCTACGATCATCGAAACTGATCCTCGAAATAATAATAATAATAATAATAATAATAATAATAATAATAATAATAATAATAATAATAATTATAATAATAATTATAACAATAATAATAATAATTATAATAATAA